CAGCTGGTGAAGTGGCTTCACCGGGACCTGCCCCGCGCCTTCCAGGTCCCGGAGAGGAGAGGGACTCAGCCCGCACAGCCGCGTCCTGCCCGGGGCGGCCCTTCCCTCTCAGCTCCCTGCCCCTCCTGCCTGCCCGCGGCCGGCCTGGCTCTGGCTCGGGCTGCGGGCACGAGAAAAGTTTCCTTGGACGGTTCTGCCCAAAATAAAGTTGCCGGGGTGTTCCCCGGGTGGACCGCGGGCGCGTGCGTTTCCCCTCCCCGCGAACCCGCAGGCAAACTCCGCGGTACTCCGCGCCCGGGCTGCTGCCTGCCACCCCCGCTCCGATGCGTCCCTCTCCGAATCAGCCCGCGGCTTCCGTGGCCACTGCCTGCCTCCTGAGCTGGGGTTTCAGTTTGAATTGGTGTTACTTAACTTTGTAAAAAGCCTGCCTTGAGAAAGTGGTTAATAAGGAGGAAAGTGTTTTGTTTTTAAATATATTATCGTACATCTTTGCCTTTAAATCTGTATGTATTTAGTCCCCTAGACAGAAAGGGATGGGGTGTTGACCGGTTGTGACTCTGCATCCTCTGAGCCTGTAAGTATCAGGCGAGCTGCGTTCCCGTTTCTAGAGCGGTAGGTAGTTAACTGTGTGCACTAGCGCTTGTTAAAGTGGATTTCATTAGGAGGAGCACCATGCGGCCCAACGGCTGATGTCAATTTTGCCAATTTGTCTTTTTCAAGCAGAAATCCTTGGCTCACTCCCTTGAGCAGCGAGGGAAAATCTGTAGATGGCAGTAAACTTCCTGTCACTGATCCTTCTGTTTGTGTGGTTCAAACTTTTGCACCTCCTATGATATGTTTGTGCTAGGCATCGATTACCCAGTGAGATATTTTGGGGGCAGTGGTTGATCTGGGGATGTCTTCACTAAGTGTTTATATATATACATACAGTATATAGCTTAGACTATAAATATGCACCACATTTGTGTCCACTGAGCAAAGAAGTGGATGTTTGTGCATGTTTCACCCAGTGTGCAAAATAGCTGTCTTTGGTACTTGGCAGTTTGCTTCTGATATCCTGAGCCAGATGGTGCTCAAACGTTATGCATTGGAAAACTTGCCATCATAGGGTTCTTTCAAAACTAGAGTTTCCTTTTTCCCCCCACACTGGTGAAGGGGTGCTGTCTTCTGCTGAAATCCAGGGAGGTCAAAATTAAAAAGAGAGTGTAGGAGAGAGCATGATGCCACATATCACACCTGGCTAGTACGTACAGGTAAAGCAGAGAGCAGGGAGCGCCCTTTGATCCTGCCTCCTGGGTGTGGGTTCAAGCAGGTCTCACACCCTTATAACCAGCACAGCCTCCAGTGCTCCCTGGAGTGGCATCATTATCTCTCTTCACCACTTTTAGGGCCAAAAAGGACTCGGAGAGAGACAACCTCATTGGCAAGCAGCATTTCTAAAAGCATCTCCTTTTTGTTCCAGAACTTTCAGGGAAGAAAACACGTCAGATTTCCTCTGGAAATCTGTTTTGCCAGGACATAGCTGCTGGTGATTCTGTTGAAGCTGTAATGCAAACCTGTTCTGGCTTGTTCTCTTCTAAGTGGAAAAGGAGGAGCAGGTGATGGCCTATTTATAGCAGTGTTAATATATTTAAAGACAACTGGGGAGTTCATACTTCCCCTACACATACACACACGGCATTTTTTTTGTCTGTTTGTTTGTTTGTTTTTGCTATGACATAGATCTCTAATTTATTTGACCTCCTTCGTATAGATGTTCCTGAATGGGTCAGTCAGAGATTCAGTGGAGTCCAGCTGAAAGCACCCTTCTCTGACCTCTTGATCTTTGTATTTGTGGTTCTTTACACGATTCCGTCATGTTCCGTTTCAAGTGGTGCAAATGCTTGAGTGGTCTCCTTTTGCAAAGTTTACACAGGCAATTTTACTTTTCCTTGATCAATCAATTATTTTCACACTTTCCTGCCATTCAGCTAAATCATTTTCAGCACAAAATGGGCACTTCCCATGGCACGGCTGTAGCCCAGGCTGAGGTCCAGATGGATCCCATTCTTTTGCTGTACCTGGTCCATGGTCTGACTACTGTGTAAATCCTTCGAGGTGACAAACTGCACAGAAACATTCCAGATTTTGGGAGGGTGGTGGGAAGGCTAACTTCAGGTGGGAACTCGGGCTGCAGGCCAAGGAGGGAGTGGGAAACCCTGGAGGAATGGGCACATCCTCTGAAACTGGACCTCAGGAGGGACTGGGATAGTTCTGAGCTCCTAACAGTTTATTTCTCTTTTGCTTTTAGTGATGTCATAAACAGCAGTTTCTCTTTCCAAAAATATGTTCTCCATCCAGATAGTCAAAGATGGTTGGGATAGGACCATTAGAAGATGGGACGGTGTTAACATAGAGCAGTGTTTGCATGGATAGGGTTGAGTTAACTTTTGCAGGCTGATCAGAGCCTGGCTTCTGAGAGATCTATTCAGGAGATGGGAACAGCTGCTTGGGGCTGGCCCAGGTGTCCACCTTCCAGCACTGTACTAGAATAGCTAGGCTGTGATGTAATTCAGGAGTTCAGCAGATCTATTTTTGCTGCCTGAAATCTTGGATAGATTCCTTCTTTCCCATGAATCTGCCTGATTTTGATTTCCATCAGTTCTTGTAGTAGAAAAAGTCTGGCAGTATTCTTGATGCACATCCATAGATCTGAGAACATTTGGATTGCAAAATGATCTTAGCATCATTCCAGTACACAGTGATTTTTTTTGCTATATTTAATTGCCTTTGTACAAAGCGGTTGGAAATATCTACTAAAAAGGAAAACGTAGGCATTGCCTTGATTTTGTATTTCTCTAACTGACATTATTCAGAACCTAGTTTCACTTAAATTCAATCTACAGTCAATCCATGATTCTGCATCATGAAGTTAATCCTCAAAGTATTTGTATTATACTGTAAAAATAAGTTCTGAATTGAAACTTCACCATCTTGCTTAATTATTTGCTACATAAAAAGCTATTAAGTAGGTTTAACTCCATATTTGTTAAGAATTATCTAGACATGAAACAAAGTTAATAGAACCCATGATAGCATGTCTAGAATTTTAATATTCTGTTTAATAATATGAGAATATTTTCCATTGCTTATCATGGAAATTTTTAATGGTAGTACTGGATATGATGAGCAAAATAAACTTTGCCCCTAGCCTTGGAAAACTGGGAATTAATATGACCAAACCTTAAGTAGTCTAAGTCTTATGATGTCACTTTATTTTCTATGGCTGGTTCTCATTATGAAATGTAAGAAAATCCTTTCTCAGAATTAAATCTTCCCTCTTTTATTATGTCCCGAATCAGATAGGTTTTCTCAAAATTTGCCTGTCATTGATAGGAAAGGTTTAATTTTTTATTTGTTTGTTTGTCACAATACCAGCTGGCTCTAGCCAGGTTTGTTTTGGCTAAAATTTGTAACTAGAAATAGTCAATATTTCAACTGGAATGGAAAAATTTTATTCCCATAAGTTTTAAGAGGCCAGATACTGCAATACAATAGATTTCTGGGTGTGTTTTTTGGTATGATGCTGAAAGCCATATGGGTATACTAGTATACTTTTATGAAATATGTATGTACTTTGAATAAATAATGATTTTCACTGAGAAATGATCTGCTTTCTTCGCTTTTACTGTGATTTAGTGTAAAATCTTTACAATGATAACCATAAGTACTTTTTATTACAAATAAAATTTCCAGTATCTGGTGTTTTTCTAGAGGCTGATAAATCAGTGTTTCTTTTGTCTATACATAGAGAAAGAATCATAATTCTTCCCAAACCAACCAACCAACCAACCAACCCAATCACTGTAGGATGAACTTGGCTTTATTATTGCAGACAACATTTCAGTAGCCTCGGTTGAAGGATGCCAATGGGAAGAAGTCAATCCTTCAGCCCTTTTTTGGGAGGTGGAACACTGGAGAAGGCAGGTAAATATGCCTGTCATCTCCTAAGGAGCAGGAGAGTCTATGCATACTTTCTCTAGTCCTGTAATTCTGGGGATGAAGGCAATAGTGCTTGTTCTTAGGGATTGGAGTAGAGGTAGCTAAAGATACCTCTTTTTGAGCATTTCTATACATTCAGGAAAATCTTAGTTGACAGGTATTTATAATTTGCAACCAGTAATTCACTAGTTTTTATTTTTACTTTAACTTTGGTATAAACAAAAGAAAAGGAAAACTGTAATTTTCTGCAGAAAGGTGATTAGAATTTAGAGGGCTAGCAAGAAAGGACTTTGGAAGCATCCTGTGGATATTAAAGTGCATAATTAAAGTACCTTGCTTTCTTCATTTAACAAAGGCAGAAACTGTAATGGTTAAGAGCATCTATCTGCGTGGCATTTTGGCTTTGTCCCTTTCTGTGATCTTGGAGAAATTGTTTAAGCTCTGTATGCCCCAGTTGTCTTGTTTGTAAATGCAATGATACCTGTCTTCTAATGTGATGGTCCAAATTAGTACATGTGAGGCACTTAGAATAATGTCTGACACAGAATATGCCCCCAGGAACTATTGTTCTTAGTGGGTCTTCTGTATCTGCATTTCCCTTATTGCTATGAAAGAACACATAGCCACATAGTGTTAGGGCTAGAATGGCTCTCATTCTACAGAAGAGGAAACTGACACCAAAAGAGGTGAGCTCATTTCTTCATGGTCATGCCATGGCGATAGCAGTGATGGCACCAGTGATGATGGCACCAGGTGTAGCACGTTTGACTTTTCCTGGGTGAACTTTTCTAGAGCTCACTGCAGGTCTAGAATGCCCATATCTGGCCCTGGCACAAAATCAGTTTTCTTGTTGAAATTTCATAATGATGTGGACATCCTCAACCTTCATTCTGTGTAAGGGAGTCATTATCCATTTTATTCTCTTGAATGTTAAAAAAATCTGGGTAGAGATGCTTCCTCACAATGAACTCACTGAGGTGGGGCATCATTTGTTTTCATTTTGCTGAATATTCCCAGTGTCTTCCCCATTAAGCAGAGTATCCGTTTGTGGCTTTGCCTCTATTGTCTGAGCAGTCCCTGGCATTAAAACTGCGGCATGTAAAATCCATTTCAATTGAAGCGAGCACAACTCACTGATATTTTTAAATCAAACATTCTATTTAAGAGATAACAACACAGTTAGAGCTGATCTATTGCTCCGTTAAAGGTGTTTATGGTTGTACTAATTGGTATGTTTGATCAGTAACTGTTGGCCAAAGCCAGGTATTTGTATCCAACCTACTGGTACACTCATCCTTTCTAGAACTTGATATTGGCATGGGCACAAGATCAAGTTCTAGAGCTGACACAGTCCAGCCTTGGCTGAGCACCCTGTCTGCATTGGTTTCTGCCTCTGACATCTGCAAAGCTTATGAACTATACGGAATCAACCACTACATTACTGTCATCTGACGTGCAGGGTAGTTTTGTAAATCCGTCTCGTCTCCTCAACTAATTGTTAGTTCTTAAGGGAAGAAGTGTAGCACTCCCCATATTTAACACAGCACTAACCATTTCACAGGTGCTTAATTAACACTTGTAATTTATGGTGTAGGTATGTTTTCCCCAGCAGCTGTCTTTTCCAGCATGTGGCCTACTGGTTAAGAGCACAAAACTTTGCTGATAGATCTGGATCCAAGTCTCAATTTTGCCACTTAATGTGTGTTCCTGACATATTAATGTATCTGCCCTAGCCTCAGCTGCTTCACCTGTGAAATAAAATGAATAAGATCACTAGGATCAGGGAGCTCTGTTGGGAATTGAGATAGATCATGGAAGCACTTAGCACAGTGATGGACACCTACTGTACCCCCAAAATGTAGGTTATTCTTCTTATATTTGTACCTTGGGGGTTTTCCTGTCAAGGTCTCCTGTAGCTGTGTTTCTCATTGAAAACTAATTGAGTACTAGGATTTTTAAACCTGGGTATGAAAGCACAGGGGATGTGTTTCTATTTATATGATATATGTTGTGCATATAACTGAGTTTTTAAAAAAAGAGACAGAAGCATAGATTGTTTAATTAAATGTCACATTTTGACATAATTTAACATTCTCCAGGAGTAAAATTCTTGCCAAGTTGACACTCATATGGATGTTCATATTTTTCAATTTTGTAGTTTTGATGTTATATAAGATATTTACCATGTGATTCCTCAGTGTCAAACTAGAGAAGTGACACATACCTAGCAGTTCTGGTTTGCACCACCAGGTGCATTTGGGGGGAGAGAAAGGGTTGTTGAATTAGCTCATGTGTTTGGTCCATTTGACCAAATTAAAATTTCACTGATGTTGCTTCAATGCCCTCTTTGTATAAGGATATAATAAAAATCACAAGGAAGGGATCTGAGGAGAGATTCGAATGAAGCCTTCATTAGTCCAACTGTTGCTGGCAATGTTACAAATAATTAATTTTGTTCCTTTGTTTTACTTGGGTTTACACTTTCATTCCCAGGAGTCAGATCTGGGTGACAGAGTGATGGACACAGTAATAGGAGTCTCAGCCTGAAAAACCACTGGGAGCAGCTTTGCCAACCAGTTTTCTGACTTTGCCCAGGGTCCTAGAATGAATGCTGATGCCAATACAAGAGAGAATGCAGACCTGGGCCATGACTATGAGGGATGCATATGGCCAATTTTATCTTAGAGTCAAACCAAGTCACTTAAAAAGACTTGGTTATTGAAATGGGAATCTTCAATGATTAGCACAATTCAATATATTATATGAACAATTTATTGCATTTGAAACATCAAACATAAAGTATAATAACTCGTTTTTAGGTCATTGAAGTTCCTGAGATTTCTCAAGATGGTTATTGTTGTCTGAAAGAGCCTATAAATAAGTCAAGTCTCTAGGGTCACTGTCCTACAGAAGATAGTGCATCAACACTATTGTAAGCGGACCCCTGACTGCATGATCTTCGAATTAGAACCTCTGCCTATTTCTACCAACATCCTTTATTGTCTACCAGACACAGTGAAGTTGAGATATTAGAGCTAGGGCCAGCCAGAGATCAAAGATGCTGGCTCCCATTCCTATGTGCTTATCCCCAAAGACCAATGAAGTATTAGTATGTGTATGTGTTTTATTTTATTTATTTATTTATTTATTTATTTATTTATTTATTTAGAGAGAGATTTGTTGTTCCACTTATTTATGCATTCATTAATTGCTTCTTATATGTACCCTGACTGGGAATTGAATTGACAACTTTGGCATATTAGGACTATGCTCCAACCAACTGAGCTGCCTAGCCAGGATTGTATGTGTGTGTTAAATGTCCTGTATTATTTTTTTACAGTTATATAAAAATAGAGGGCAAAATTATTAAGATTTAAAGCTACTAGTGACCCATAAACATTATAAAGGACACAACATTTTAGGCTAGTTTATTCCTAGGACCAATAAAAAGCTATTGATGTTTAATATTAAGAGACCAAAGAGATCAGGTGAATGCAAATGAAAGAGATAATGAAGAAATGTTAACAGAGTTCAAACATATGGCAGATCTAATGTCTAATTCTTTCCTATCATTGACTTGCAGTTAGTTCAAACATACGTAACATCTGTTCTTCGGAATTGGACTTTTAGGTAAACAGAATGGAAGTTATCATTTGATTAATGTGTTTAATTTTTTATTCTTGAGCACAATCCTCATTCATCTCTATCTGGCTCATATATATATTCATGCTGAAATAAACACTCATGAGACCAGTCCAGCCTAGAGTACTTCCAGTAATGTATTTCTATCTACACGCTGCACCTATCCCATTCCCCTGCCCACCCTCAGAAGTCAGCTTCATATCACACTTGCTGTTTATTATTCTCTTTTTTGTTCATTTTATCACACACATATATCATATATATATACATATCACATATGTCCGATATATATGTGGTGTGAGATTGTGATCAAGATCAATTTCCATATTTTTTTTTTGTGGAGAATGAATTTTTACTGGTCCATTTTAGTTATTCCTTTTTCCACACCAAATTCCCACATATCAATGGTTTTTTATGGACTATCTATTCTGTTTCATTGCTCAAGTTTTGTCTTGTTTTTTTTTCCCCTTGGTAAAACTGCACACTTGCACACACAAACACACAGATTATAATTACTAAAGCTTTATGATAAGTATTTGTATTAATCAGGGCAAATAACATGCACTCCTTTAAATGTTTCTTGCTTATTCTTTTGTTCTTCCATATAAACTTTGCAATCACCTATGTCAATCTCCATATAAGACAACTCTATTGGGATCGTAATAGTATCTATATTGAATATATTGATTCATTGTTGAGAATTTATACTTTATATTGTTTTTCTATCCATGACCGTGGGCTTTGGGAGGATAGTGACATGCATTGGTTGCTGTTCTAGAGCCTCTACTGCATCCTGGAGGTCATTTTCCCAGCTCCACCAGGTGTTGTCCACAGGCAGGCCTTGTAACTGAGTCTTCAGAAGGTCATTCCCGCCTTCAATCAAGGAAGCTGCTTTAGAGTGATGCAGAAAAGAGTAAGACCAGTGAATTCCCATGGTGGTTTGGACAGAAGCATTGTGGACAGGAAAGTTCAATTCAAGTGAGAACAAAGTGCTGTACCTTCCATCATGGAAGAAGTCAATTGTAATCAGCTTGCTAGGGATGGTGGCTGGTTCTCCAAAAGATGACACATGTAAGGGGCTCTGAGTTATGGTGCTTTAATTGCCTCCTTGTAGGTGGCCCTAGTGTGTTCTGCAGAACCAGCTGTAATCCAGAACTGGATTTTTATTTCCTCAGGCCTAGGCAATTTTCTACAAGGACTAGGTGCAAGTTTAGAAAGAGGAGACGGTGTAGCAGGAGTACAGACTACGTATCAAGTGCTCATTCGATTTACTTGTGCCTTCAGACCTATCTGAGCCCTAATTCTTTCATTCCACCTCCACTTGAGTATGAGATGCCTC